AAACTGAAGTGCAAAAAAAAACTGCAAAGCAAAACAAACTGCAATGCAAAAAAGTGCATTTCGCTCGTCGTGGTGGTTGGCGCTGCCTCGCCAGACCTCCCCTAAACCACTCTCGCCCGGATCCTAAGCTAAGACTGCAAGACGAAGCTCAAACCAGACCAACAGGACCAGACGGAAAAAAAACAGCCATGCACAAAAGACTGCAAAGCAACAAAAACTAAAATGCAAAAACAAATGCATTTCGGTTGTCGACGTGGTGGGTGGCGCTGCCTCGCCGGACCTTCCCTAAACCACTCTCGCCCGGATCCTAAGCTAAAGCTGCAAGACGAAGCTCAAACCAGACCAACCAGACCAGCCAGAGCAGATGGAAAAAAAATGCAGTACAACAAAAAAAATGCAAAGCAAAAAAGACTGCAATGCAAAAAAACTGATTTTCGCTCGTCGTGGTGGTTGGCGCTGCCTCGCCGGACCTCCCCTAAACAACTCTGGCCCGGATCCTAAGCTAAGACTGCAAGGCGAAGCTCAAACCAGACCAGCCAGACCAGATGGAAAAAAAAGCAATGCACAAAAGACTGCAAAACAAAAAAAACGGAAATGCAAAAAAGCATGCATTTCGGTTGTCGACGTGGTGGGTGGCGCTGCCTCGCCGGACCTCCCCTAAACCACTCTCGCCCGGATCCTAAGCTAAGGCTGCAAGACGAAACTCAAACCAGACCAACCAGACCAGAGCCAGGCTTGCTCTTTGTAAGCTTGGCGTCCCGCCGTGCGCTACAAGATGCCCCCCAGATCACCTAAAATTAATGTTGAGGGCGTTACGAAGGAGGAGGCGTGAGTGGACATAAATATTCGAGTCCTCCAAGCACCACGTCGTGACTGAGATCAGCATTGATTTCGGGGCGGGGGTGATGATCAGATATCCCTCGAACATTTAAGGATTCAATTACTTTGTCCATCTACTGGAGGGTGCGATGTTTGCGCGAGAGATGGACTTGACGACTGCAACTTCCACAGGGGAGTCCTCAACCCTGTAAGATTCAATGCTGGGCGGGCATGTATCCATCACCACCGCATGGGCAACGGATAAACCTCCGCCTCGGAAAAACGCTGAGTCCACACCACTGGTCATCTCCCCCCACGTGGAGGCCCCCTTCCCGGAAACGGATCGTCGTTTCATTCCGAGTTGTCTTCTGACGGTCCCAGACAGGAGAGCCCAGAATCGAATCGATAAGTCGGATCGGCGATCGAAATGAATCGGATCGGCGGAAATCGGCAGCCGAGTTGGGAAAAGTCGAATCGGCAGACATCGGCAGGCTAGTAGGCCTCCAATAAGAAATCGGAGCCCAAGTCGGAATCTCAAGTCTAATCGAATCGGAATCGGAAGCCATCGAAATCGAATCGAATCGAATCGGAGGAATCGAAACGAGCCCTGCCCAGAGGCTGGATACCGCCAGAAACCTTGCGTCACTACTTCTTGTCACGAAGCAAGGGGGCCTGGGGCCCTAGACCTCACCCCTTCAACGGCGGCGCGCACAAAGGGGTGACGCGAAGACGGGGGGGGGCCTCCTGAGAACGCCGGGAGGAGCCTTCTTGGAAGAGCCTGGAGACTTCTGCTCGCGCGGGCTGCCAACTATGGCCTATAGTCCTCGCCCTGAGACCACCACTCGGGCGACCTTGAGATGCGACGTCGCCAAGAAAATACAGTACAACGAAAAATCGCGAAAGAAAACCCTCGACCCATCCTTCTGCTGCATTGTTCGGGCCGGAACACTGTGTGAGGGCCCCAGGGCCCGAAACGATGCACAGCTACAGGCTGCACAAGAAAATGCATCGCCAGAATCTCAGGAGATGGGTACATCCCTGACGGCATACAAAACACCCCAACCCAACCCGAAGTCACCGTCTGGCTCGTCGATGTCCCATGGACGGGCACTCAAGAACCTCGAGGAAGCACGAGGGAACCTGTACGCCCCCCAGTACCCGACTCTGGGGTGGTCTTGGGCCGTCGGGCCGGGTGGAGGTGGCGTGGTAAATACTGAATCCCTGCCCTGGAACCACCCCTGTACTCCTATAGCCCTCGACCCCAAGGCTTTCCCCCTCGTGGACGCCCCCTGCAAGCGGCTAGCGCGCCGCTCCGCTCCGCGGGACGTGGGGCGGGGAAAGTCGGCGGCGCGCACGAGGGGGTAGGGGGGAGGGGGGAAACCGTCTTGCAGTCAGTGAGCGAATTTGCCAATGAGAACTTGCCGTGGGCGCCTGGAACGCTCACGCCCGGTAAAAGCGCACAGCTGCAACCCACGCCGCGTGCGGCTGGAAACGCTCGCGCTGGGTGAGAACGCGCAGCTGGAACCCACGCCGTGCGCTTTTGGAACGCTCTGTGTAAACATGTGTGGCTGGAACCCACGCCGTGGGCGGCTGGCTGGAACCCACGCCGCGCACGGCTGGAATGCTCGCGCTGGATGAAAGCGCACTGCTGGAACCCACGCCGTGGGCGCCTGGAACGCTTTCACTGAGCTGGAGCCCACACCGTGGGCGGCAAGAACACTCGCGCTGGGCAAGACTTAAAGGCTGAAACCAACACCGTGGGCGGTTGGAACATTTTCCTGCGTAAGAATTTGGGGCTGGAGCAACCCTTCTTGTGGCATTGGCGGCTGGAACACGAGCCAGGGGCGGGGGTACTAGCATCGTATCCACGCCACGTTCCCAAACTGGGGCAGTCCGCGCGCTCGTCTGTCGGTTAGTCGGTTCGTCGGTCGTCGTAATCTCGGTCCGTCGGTCGTCATCGGTCATCGTCTCGGTCGGTCGGTCGGTGGTCGTCGGCGTGTGGGTCGGTCGGTCGGTCGGTCGGTGGTCGTTCGGTCCGGTCATCGCTCGTCGGTCGGTCAATCGTCGTCGTCGGTCGGCGTCATCTCGGTCGGCGGTCGTCGGTCCACAGCCGGAATCTGCCCACACCTTGGCGCGTTCTGAGAGAACGCCTCTGGAGTCAAAGCGGCTACGGATGCAACGAAGTTGAGAACATGACGTTGGACCCAAAATCTGCCCGATATGAAATACTCCTTGAAGTTTCACGACCAACAATAATAGTTTACTGACTGCAGGAGAAACCTGCAACATAGAAAGGCGCCGACCCTACATCTGTAGACAGGGCCCGCGCCTTCTGAGGAGCCGGGGTGCTTCCAAGAAGCCTTCCTGCGCGCGGCTGAGAACGGCTCGGGGCGTTGAGGCCAGGAGGCCGTGCCGCGGGCAGCGCGCCGCGCCAAGGCGCGGTGGGCCAGAACCGGCGGCGCAACACGCCAGGCCCAGGTTCCCGACCGTGGTCCTCGGCCCCGGGTCCCCACCCCTGTCGTGGTGGAGGCGGCCGCGGGATCTGAACTGGATGGGGCCCACGACAATCCAATCGAGGGGGGGACGCAACCAAGTCCGCTGAGAGTCTGTCCCTGGACCCGTCCTGGGATCCACGTGGTGCAATTTCCAGCCCCGGATGCACTTTTCACTGGGAGGCCGAAAGAGGAGGGGAAACGAGAAACAAGAAACGAACAAGAAAGGAAGCTCGAACCGGCAGAGCCTCAAACCTCGCCCCCGCGACAGGCTCGCCAAAGCAGTGCTGCACCACCTCGGGCCCCCAGCCGGCTCCAGCCGGAGCGAGACTGATGCCGTGATAAGATTGGCTCAGGATGCGTGTCGGGATCTCCGGAGTAATTTCGGTGGAGGCCAGTCCACGAGAAACCTTCCACAAGAAACCCAACCCTGAGACCCCAGGGCGTCCACTGACTCTTGATGTGGGAGCGTCACGCTCTCCGTCGCAGAACCATCGAAACCCGAGAGAAAACCCAGGGCACCCTGGAGGCAAGCAGGGCGCTTCTTGGCCTGGGCCCCCACTGCACTGCCAGCGGCCCTCGCTGCTGCGACCCCCGTGGAACGGCAGGGAAGCCTGGAGATCCTGGAACGCTTCGCATGCGGCAAACGACTTCGGGACGGCCTGGGCCCGTGGAGGAGGGCCCCGGGAGCCCCTTCCTCTTTTTCTTCCTCCTCCTCCTCCTCCTCCTCCTCCTCCTCCTCCTCCTCGTCTTCCCCTTTCTCCTCCTCCTCCCCCTCCTCCTCCTCCTCCTCCTCCGCCTCCTCCTCCTCAACCTCCTCCTCCTCCTCCTCCTCCTCCTCCTCCTCCTCCTCCTCCTCCTCCTCCTCCTCCTCCTCCTCCTCCTCCTCCTCCTCCTATACATGTGACGTACCCAACCCTGTCTATACGTGTGGCGATTATTCTCAGGACCACTCAATGCTGACTTGCATTCTGAAGGACCCGTGCGCAAGAAGAGCACCCGACAGTGATTTCAGAAGAGCGCAGCAAGAAGAGGAACGGCAACTGCTCTATTCAAAACGAGGCCAGGGGCGACCACACTGCTCTATTCAAAACGAGTACCCAGCCATAGGAGGGTTGGGAAAAACCAGGACCCCCCACCTGGGGGCCCGCTTCGCTCATGGCGAAGCGTGTCATCCTCGTGGCCCCTGAGATCCGACGGCGCGAAAAGAAAACAGGACCCCCCTCGGGGACCCGCTTCCCTCATGGCGAAACGTGCCATCCTCGTGGCCCCTGAGATCCGACGGTGCGAAGAGAAGTGCGACGTCGCAAAAAATCGCGCCCGGGCGCCCGGGAGCCCGTCCCCCTGCGTCAGGTCTGGAGCCGGATCGATCTGTGAGAGACCCGCGGCCCGAGACAGAGCGAAAACGCCCGTTGCGAAAGAAGTGCAACGCCAAGAGCTCAGGGACTTCTTTCAGGTCGGGCATGTCCTCCTTGCAGGCGGATTCCGGGCGAAAACTCGAAAACATACACCAAAAATGCTCCCAAAAATACCCCCAAAGTAATCGACAGAATCGTCCCCAGACTACTTTTGGGCTATTCTCGAACACTCCCCCTGTAGAGGGGCACACCCGACGGAAGACTTCTTGCTCCTCTGTCGGGACGCCCCCGGCGCGCAGGGCGGCGCTGGCGGCCGGGCCGCGGCGCTCGCCTCGGAGGCCACGCCGAGCGGCAGCTCGCCGCCCGAGGCCCGGGAGCTGCCGGCTCCGCGGCCAGTGGGCCGCCCCCCGCACGGGGCCGGCAGCGGGCTGGGCGACCGCTGCCCCAGAAGAGGAGGAGACGGAGGAGGAGGAGGAGGAGGAGGAGGAGGAGGAGGAGGAGGAGGAGGCGGAAGAGGGAGGAGGAGGAGGAGGAGGAGGAGGAGGAGGAGGAGGAGGAGGAGGAGGAGGAGGGAGAAGGAGGACGCGGAGGACGCGGAGGAGGAGGAGGAGGAGGAGGAGGAGGAGGAGGAGGAGGAGGAGGACCTCGGCACCCCCCCGCGCCGACGACCGGGGTCCCAGGTAGAAACCTCGACCCTCCTCCTCCCTCCTCTTGGGGGCCCCAAATGCGCGGTGATAGGCAATGAGGTGACCTCGAAATCCCTCAAGACCTCAGCGCACGGTCCGTCATCGCACAGCGTTGGGGCCTGAAGCCCCGGAGGCCCCATTCGTCCGAGACGTCTTCGGAGAAAGACCCGAGTCCCAAAACCATGCGCTCACCCCAACTTCCCAGACAGCCGACGGTATGATTTCTCCGATGCGCGGCCCAAGAGGTCCCGACCCCTGCCCTGGGGCAAAGTTTTCACCCCGGGTCCATTTGTGATGGCCCGGATGCCGACCTCTACAAGAAAACGCCGACTGGCTCGCTACGCGGTATGGTCACCACACCGTTTGGGGGGTCTTCGCTTCGCCGTTGTCGTCGCTCCCGCCTCCTCCCTCCCTTCGTCTTCTTCTCCTCCTCCTCCTCCTCCTCCTCCTCCTCCTCCTCCTGCTCCTCCTGCTCCTCCTCCTGCTCCTCCTCCTCCTCCTCATCCTCCTCCTCCTCCTCCTCCTCCTCCTCCTCCTCATCCTCCTCCTCCTCCTCCTCCTCCTCCTCCACCCGCTCCCTCGTCTACTCCCGGCTGCCTCCGCCCTCCTCCTGCCTCTGGGGGAGAGGGGGGCTCCTCCAGCGGCGCCCGGGGCCTCCACCCCCTCCCAGGCCCCAAGGGTGGGGGGGAGCGGCCGACCGGCCACGGCGGGCTGGTGATCAGGAGGCAGGCGGCCGCCAGGAAGCGGAAGAGGGCGCCGAGGAGGAGGAGGGGGAGGCTGCTGCACTCGAAGCCGTCGTGAGCCCTGAGCCTCGGAGGGGCGCATAGTCGTAGAGTCAACCCGTAGAAATCTGGGCCAGCTTCCCGGAAGTCTCGCAAAACGAACCTGGACCAGGTTCTGTTGTTAACACTGGAGGGCGAACGTGCTCAAGGAACTGGGCCAGCTTTCCAGCAAGGTGGTCAAGAAACGCTGGCCCAACTTTTCGGGAGGAGGTTTCTAAGTCAGATGATCGACCGCAATAAGAACGCAGGATAAGAATGCAAGGGCCTTGGAAGGCCATGTCGCCACTTTCCCAGCGGAGCGCGGCCGGCGAAAGCGGCCAAGGCTGGGTCGAAAGGGGAGGATGCAAGGGTAACATTGGAAAGCTGCTCATCCTTACTATGCGGGTTGACTGTAGTCCTGGCCGTCGTCGTGGCCGTGGTGGCGGTGGCCGTCGTCGTGGTCGTGGTCATCGCCGTCGTTTGTCGTCGGCATCGTCGTCGTCATCGTTGTCGGGGGTCGTCAACTGCTCTGCGAGGATGGATGAGATATTGTTCCCAATCCTCCTGTGTTGGGTGTCGTGTTCCTTCTCCTCCCCCCTCTGCAAGCCTGCTCCTGCGCTGCTCCCTGGGTGGCTGCGAGCTGCGCAGCTGTCGCCACTTTCGGCTGGTAAGCTCGGGCGGGGTAGGGGAGCAGGAGCATCCAGCCGAGACCTCGCGGCTCCCTGGGTGTCTGCGAACTGCGCACATGTCGCCACCCTCGAGGGCTCATGGGAGGTACGGCGGAGTAGGCGAGTACGCGCACCCATTTGAGACATCGCTGCTCCCTGGGTGGCTGCGAACTGCGCAAATGTTGCCACTCTCGAGGGCTCCTGGGAGGTCCAGCGGAGTCGGGGGCCCCTCGCATCAAGCCGAGACATCGCGGCTCCCTTGGCGACTGCGGACTGCACAGCTGTTCCAACTCTCGTGGGCTCCTGAGGGGTCCCAGCGGAGTCGGGGGCCACGCGGACCCATGTTGTTGGACCTCGCTGCCCCCTGGGTGGCAGCGAACTGCGAAACTGTCGCCACTCTCGAGGGCTCCTGGGAGGTCCAGCGGAGTCGGGGGCCACGCGCACCCATTTGGGACATCGCTGCTGCTTGGGAGGCTGCGAACTGCGTAACTGCCGCCACGCTCGTGGGCTCCTGGGAGGCCCAGCGGAGTCGGGGGCCACGCAGTTCCAGACGAGACCTCGCGGCCCCCTGGGAGGCTACGAACTGCGCAACCGTCGCCACGCTCGTGGGCTCCTAGGAGGCACGGCGGAGATGAGGGTATCGCTGATCGTGCGTATCTGGCGATGGGTTCTGTATGGAGGGTTCGTACAAAGACTCGCCTCGCGTGGAGAAGGGGCCGGGTGCGTCTCGGGCAACGGTCTCTGGCGTCGCTGGGTCCTGTCTGGCCCTCTGCGCCGCGGCGGGCCACGGCTCGGAGACATGGCTGGGGCAGGCACTAGGGCGCGGTCCCGGGGTCCGGGGAACGAGAGGGGAGGCTGCTGCACTCGAAGCGGTCGTGGACCCTCAGCAACGGAGGGGCGCGGGAGGGGATCGAGGAGGAAGGCCTCTGGGGCGCCTCCGGCCCCCCAGGGTCTGGCTCGAAGCCGGCGTGGCTCAGGGGCCTCAGAGTGGCGCACAGCCGTCGTCGTCGCGGTCGCGGTCGCGGTGGTGGTCGCGGCTGCGGTGGTGGCCGCCATCGTCGTAGTCGTCGTGGTCGTGGTCGTGATCGAAGCGGTGGTGGTCGTCGTCAGCGGCGGGGCTCTGGTCCTGTCTAGGCCTCCGGCCCTGGCCAGACGCGGCTCGGAGAGCCTGCCACAGTGGACCACGGGAGGGGCCGAGCGGTGGCGGCGCGCCAAGTCGTCGTCGCCGCCGTCGCCGTCGACTACGTCGTCGACGTCGTCGTCGCCGTCGTCGGCGAAATCATGGTCTGGGGAATGTTCGGGCTCTCTCCTCCCTCAGGGCTTGTCGGCTGTTCGCCAATCGACTTGTGGGGATCGAGCCGGGTAAGTCCAGGTAAGTGCAGATCAATCGAGATACATCTGGGCAAATCGATATACATCCGGGCAAATCCAGGTAGATCCAGAGATCTCCAGGGGAAGTTGGAGCAACTCGTGGCCGCTCCAGCGCGAGTCGAAGGACGGTAGAAATCGTCAGGCCTTTCACGATCCCTGGGAGGTTGCCGTCGCCACGGCGGGGCGCTGCTCGGGAGGCCGGCCGCGGTGGGCCCCGGGAGCGGTGCGGGGGCCGATGTTTGGGGCCCCTCGCCCTGCGCCCGTGTTCTGCACGCCGCCGAGAGCCGCTCGAGGACCGAGGAGGTGCCCGGGCTCCTCATGCACTGCATGCTCTTCAGGGAGAAGCCCACGTCGTACATGTACTTCTCGAGGACCGACGCGGCGAACTCGGACGTCCAGAACGAGCCGCGCCCCGACATGTGCAGGAATATCCAGTGCGAGAGGGCCCACCGCGTGGGGGTGACCAGCACCAGGAACTTACCCAAGCCGCCCAAGCTCTCAACGAGCAAAAACGACTCTGGCTTGGCCCCGCTGAAGAGGAAGGCCATGAAGCCTAGAACTACACCACACATCGTCGCCTTCTGCGCTGTGAAAACGATGGCCGCGATGTGAATGATGCCCCACACGCAGTAAATCAGTGCGAATGCGACAGAGAAGACTTCGGCGCCTGAAGCAAAGGTCTGCGCCAACGGCAAGAAGGTAAGCGTGAAGCTCGCCGCATGGAAGAATATCTCCGCCAGGCTGGCCAGGTCTTTCCCGACAAAACTGAACGCCACCTGCGACAGCGAGGTGACGGAGGCCTCTCGCCAGGCCACCTTCCTCTCCTTGGAGGTCCCAAACGGTGACGGACAGTGCGGTGACCTTGAAATTCTCCAAAAACTCACCGCACGGTCCGTCACAGCACGGTTTTGAACCTTGGAGGCACCAATCGTCCAAGACATCCTCGGTCCTCGGAGATCGACCCATGTACCAAAACTGCGGAGGGCTCACCCCCAACTTGCAGACATCCGACGATACGTGACTTTTCCGATGCGCGGCCCCAGACGTCCCGACCCCTTCCCTGGGGCAAGTCTTCACCACCCGGATCCATAAGTCTTTGCCCCAAGGCACGAGAATGGGCCCAGTATGCCGAAATCGACCAGACACGCCCGCCTTGGAAAATTATCCTGGCGAAAGACCCAACCATATGCAGTTGTGAGTACCGTCGTTGCGGGCATCGCCTTCGGGGGATCTCCTCACGGAGCCATGAAGTATGCAAAGGGTGTGCCGATGTGGGGCGGGGCCGCCATGTAGGCGCTGCCACTGGTGCTTTCGGCGGACCGCGCTACGGGGAAGTGTGAAGGGTGCGCCGCAGTGGGGCGGAGCCGCCACTGGGGCCTTCAGTGGAGGTCCCTATGGGGCAGCGAAACAATGTAATGGGTCGGGAAGCGCATGCGAGTGCAGCCACCGAGGCCTTCGGTGCAGCTCCCCATGAGGCCACGAAGCGCTGGGCTGGGCGGGGGGAACGCATGCGAACACCGTCACCGGGGCCTTCGGTGGAGCTTCCTATTTCCTATGGGCCCACGAAACGCTGTACTGGGTCGGGGTGACGCATGCGGGTGCGTCCAATGGGGCCACCCGTTGAGCTCCCTATGGGGTCACGAAGCGCTGTACTGGGTGGGGGTGACGCATGCGGGCGGTGCCACTGGGGCCTCCGGTGGAGCTTCCCATGGGGCCACGAAACGCTGTACTGGGTCGGGGTGATGCATGCGGGTGGTGTCACTGGGGCCTTCGATCGAGCTCCCCATGGGGCCACGAAGCGCTGTACCAGGTGGAGTGTGACGCATGCGGGCAGTGCCACTGGCGACTTCGGTGGGGGCCACGAAGCGCTGTACTGGGTGGAGGTGACGCATGCGGGCGGTGCCAGTACGGCCTTCGGTGGAGCTCCCTATGGGGGGCCACGAAGCGCTGCACTGGGTGGGGGGTGACGCATGCGGGAGGTGCCACTGGGGCCTTCGGTGGAGCTCCCTATGGGACCACGAAACGCTGTACTAGGAAGGAGTGACGCATCGGGCGTTGCCACTGGGGCCTCCGGTGGAGCTCCCTGTGGAGCCACGAGACGCTGTACTGGGCGGGTGTGACGCATGCGGGCGGTGCCCATGGGGAATTCGGTGGAGCTCCCTATGGAGCCACGTAGCGCTGTACCAGGTCGGGGTGACGCATGCGGGTGGTGTCACTGCGGCCTTCGGTGACGCTCCCAATGGGGCCACGAAGCGCTGTACCGAGTGGGGGTGACGCATGCGGGCGGTGCCACTGGGGCCTTCGGTGGAGCTCCCTATGGGGTCACGAAGCGCTGTACTGGGTGGGGGTGACGCATGCGGGCGGTGCCACTACGGCCTTCGGTGGAGCTCCCTATGGGGCCACGAAGCGCTGTACTTGGAGGGGGATGACGCATACGGGCGGTTTCACTGTGGGCCACGAGACGAAGTACTGGGTGGGTGTGACGCATGCGGGCGGTGCCCCTGGGGAATTCGGTGGAGCTCTCTATGGAGCCACGTAGCGCTGTACTGGGTTGGGGTGACGCATGCGGGCGGTGTCACTCGGGCCTTCGGTGACGCTCCCAATGGGGCCACGAAGCGCTGTACCAGGTGGGGGTGACGCATGCGGGCGGTGCCACTGGGGCCTTCGGTGGAGCTCCCTATGGGGTCGCGAAGCGCTGTACTGGGTGGGGGTGACGCATGCGGGCGGTGCCACTACGGCCTTCGGTGGAGCTCCCTATGGGGCCACGAAGCGCTGTACTGGGAGGGGGATGACGCATGCGGGCGGTGCCACTGGGGCCTCCGGTGGAGCTCCCTGTGGGACCACGGAACACTGTACTGGGTGTGGGTGGCGCATGCGGGCGGTGCCCCTGGGGCCTTCGGTGGAGCTCCCTATGGGGCCACGAGACGCTGTACTGAGTGGGGGGTGATGCATGCGGGAGGTGCCGCTGGGCCTTCGGTGAGCTCCCTCCCTATGGGGCCACGAAGCGTTGTACTGTGTGGGGGTGACGCATGCGGGAGGTGCCACTACGGCCTTCGGTGGAGCTCTCGATGGAGCCACGTAGCGCTGTACTGGGTGGGGGTGACGCATGCGGGCGGTGCCAGTGGGGCCTTCGCTGGAGCTCCCCATGGGGCCACGAAACCTGCGAGGGGTGTGCCGAAACGGGTGTGGGAGACGCATGCGGGCGGTGGCATTGGGAGGGAGGAGGGGAAGGAGTGGGAGGAGGGAGGAGGGGGAGGAGGAAGGAGGCGGGAGGAGGAGGAGAACGCGGGGCACCGTCTGTTCAAAACGACCAACACCACAGGATGGTTGGGAATTAGCCTGGCGAAGAACCCAACCATATGCAGTTGTCAGTACCGCAGCTGCGGGTTTCATCTTCAATGGAACTCCCCATAGGATTACGGAACGTGTGAGGGGTGTGCCGAGATGGGTGCCACTGGGGCATTCGGCGAAGCTCCCTATGGGGACATGAAACACGCGCGGGGCGTGCCGACATGGGTGGCGGAAACGCATGTGCGGGCCGCCACTGGGGCCTCCAGTGGAGCTCCCTATGGGTCCCCGAAACATGATGCTGCTGCGGGGGGGGGGCCGGGATGGGTGGCGGAGACGCATGTAAGCGCCGCTACTGGGGCCTTCGGTGGAGCTCCCTATGGGGCCACGAAGCGCGTGAGGGGTGTACTGGGATGTGTGGCGGGGACGCATGTGAGCGCCGCCACTGGGGCCTTCGGTGCAGCTCTCTATGGGGCCACGAAACGTGTGAGGGGTGTGCCGAATTGGGTGCGGGTGGTGACGCATGCGGGCGGCAGCACTGGGGCCTTCGGTGGAGCTCCCTATGGGGCCACGAAACCTGTTGTTGTGAGGGGCGTGCCGGGATGGGTGGCGGGGACGCATGTGAGCGCGGCCGCTGGGGCCTTCGGTGGAGCTCCCTATGGGGCCACGAAACGTGTGAGGGGTGTGCCGAATTGGGTGGGTGTGGGTGACGCATGTGAGCGCCGCCACTGGGGCCTCCGGTGGATGATGGGGCCACGAAACCTGTCAGGGATGTGCCGAAATGGGTGTGCGGGACGCATGCGCATGTGAGCGCCGCCACTGGGGCCTTCGGTGGAGCTCCCTATGGGGCCACGAAACGTGTGAGGGGTGTGCCGAAATGGGTGTGGGGACGCATGCGGGCGCACTGGGGCCTTCGGTGGAGCTCCCTATGGGGCCACGAAACGTGGAGGGGTGTGCCGAAATGGGTGTGGGGACGCATGCGGGGCACTGGGGCCTTCGGTGGAGCTCCCTATGGGGCCACGAAACGTGTGAGGGGTGTGCCGAAATGGGTGTGGGTGACGCATGCGGGCGCGGGCACTGGGGCCTTCGGTGGAGCTCCCTATGGAGCCACGAAACGTGTGAGGGGTGTGCCGAAATGGGTGTGGGTGACGCATGCGGGCGCGGGCACTGGGGCCTTCGGTGGAGCTCCCTATGGAGCCACGAAACGTGTGAGGGGTGTGCCGAAATGGGTGTGGGTGACGCATGCGGGCGCGGGCACTGGGGCCTTCGGTGGAGCTCCCTATGGAGCCACGAAACGTGTGAGGGGTGTGCCGAAATGGGTGTGGGTGACGCATGCGGGCGCGGGCACTGGGGCCTTCGGTGGAGCTCCCTATGGAGCCACGAACGTGTGAGGGGTGTGCCGAAATGGGTGTGGGTGACGCATGCGGGCGCGCATGCGGGCACTGGGGCCTTCGGTGGAGCTCCCTATGGAGCCACGAAACGTGTGAGGGGTGTGCCGAAATGGGTGTGGGTGACGCATGCGGGCGCGGGCACTGGGGCCTTCGGTGGAGCTCCCTATGGAGCCACGAAACGTGTGAGGGGTGTGCCGAAATGGGTGTGGGTGACGCATGCGGGCGCGGGCACTGGGGCCTTCGGTGGAGCTCCCTATGGAGCCACGAAACGTGTGAGGGGTGTGCCGAAATGGGTGTGGGTGACGCATGCGGGCGCGGGCACTGGGGCCTTCGGTGGAGCTCCCTATGGAGCCACGAAACGTGTGAGGGGTGTGCCGAAATGGGTGTGGGTGACGCATGCGGGCGCGGGCACTGGGGCCTTCGGTGGAGCTCCCTATGGAGCCACGAAACAGTGTACTGGGTGGGTGGAGAGGAGAGGAGAAGACGAGAGGAGAGGAGAGGAGAGGAATGATGATGATAATGATGATGATGACGATGATGATGATGATGATGATGATGATGATGATGATGACGATGATGATGGTGATGATGATGATGATGATGGCAGGAGGGAGGGGGCAGCGGGAGGAGGAGGGAACGCGGGGCACCGTCTCTTCAAAACGAGGACCCAACACCACAGGATGGTTGGGAAAAAATGTAGTCTGAGATCTGGGCCCGCAGTGACTCGCACGACGGCGTGGTCACTGCAACGTTTTGCGGCTCCCGATCTTCGGAGGCGCCCAAGAGGAAGGCGTCCAAGAGGAGGGGGCGCAAGTCATGGCCCAAGGCACGTGCGCGGCCCAGGGGAGGACAAAGGAAACGTCTTGACAATTACGCACTGCGCGAAGATCCCCGCATGTGCATCTGTTTGAAAAAAGGATAGTTGTCAGTGGGATCTGGGAATGCGCGTCTAGCCATGCAACGCAACATGCGAATAGCATGTTGAGACATCCCCACCGAACGGCCACGAACGGAGCCTTGAAAACACCCTTGGCGGCTCCCCCTAGGGGTGCTGAAACCAACACCCCGCCTGAGACATCCGCACAATCTACTCTGGTAACCAAGGATGCTGAGACAGAAAACAATCAAACCGCTTGAAACATCCCCACAAAACGGCCGCGAACGGGACCGTGAAATCACCCCTGGCGGCTCCCATTCGGGGTGCTGAAACCAGCGCCCCGCAATTCTGGGTATGAGTGAGTCTCAGCATGAGTAAGTCTGAGCAGGAGTAGATCTGAGTATGAGTAGGCCTGAGTATGAGTAAACTTATGTCGATTCGCATGGACCTGTCCGCCGTGAATGTCTAGGCGCAAGAGCTTCCGAATATAAACGGGCTTCAGTTGTGACGGTCTGGTCATGAATCTAACTGAGAATGAATTGGAGTGTGAATCAGCCTCAGTAGTACGAGCGCATCTCTGCGCATGAGCCTGGGTCCTCCTGGGGCCTCCTGGGGCCTCCTGAAAACTACTGGGGCTTCCTGGGGCCTCCAGGAGCCTCTTGGGGCGTCCTGGGGCCTCCTGGGGCCTCCTAGGGAGGATTCGTGCCCCAGGAGAGGCGCAATCTATAGCAACAGACGTACATCAAACATTGCGGATTGGAGCCACTGGAGAAGGGGGCAATCTATAGGAACACGTGTAAAACACTAAGGACTCGTGCCCCAGGAGAGGCCCAATAGGAACATAAGTACACAGGAGAAGGACAATGTATAGAAACAGATGTATGACATCAAGAATTCGTGCTCCAGGTGAGGCCAAATCTATAGGAGCATACGTCAAACACATGGGATTGGAGCCACTCCTGTCGCCTTCTGAGGCCTCCTGCTTCTGGGGCCTGTCGGGGCCTCCTGTTGCCTTCCGAGGCCTCCTGGCGCTTCCTCTGGCCTCCTGGGGCCTCCTGTGGTTTCCTGAGGCCTCCCGGAGCTGCCTGGGGCCTCCTAGAGCCTCTTGGGACATCCTGTGGCCTCTTGAATCTTTCTGTGGCCTCCTGATGCCTCCTGAGACCTCATGTGGGTTCCTGGGGCCTCCTGGAGCCTGTTGGAGCCTGCAGTGGCATCCTGAGGAGAATCTGTGCCCACGAGTCTGGCCACCGATCGAGACATCCCCCAAATCTGGCCCACTTGGGGGGTGAAAATGAGCGCCTCGCTCGAGAAATCCTCCAAATCTGCTCCGAAAGCGAAGGATGCTGGGACAGAAAACAAGCAAACCGCTTGAGACATCCCCACAAAACGGCCGCGAACGGGACCGTGCAACACCCCTCGGCGGCTCCCCTTCGGGACGTGAAAATGAGCGCCTCGCTCGAGACATCCTCCAAATCTGATCCGAAAGCGAAGGAAATGGGGACAGGAAACAAGCAAACCGCTTGAGACATCCCCACAAAACGGCCGCGAACGGGACCGTGCAACACCCCTCGGCGGCTCCCCTTAGGGACGTGAAAATGAGCGCCTCGCTCGAGCCATCCTCCAAATCTGATCCGAAAGCGAAGGATGCGGGGACAGAAAACAAGCAAACCGCTTGAGACATCCCCACAAAACGGCAGCGAACGAGACCATGTAACACACCTCGGCGGCTCCCCTTCGGGACATGAAAATGAGCGCCTCGCTCGAGACATCCTCCAAATCTGCTCCGAAAGCGAAGGATGCGGGGACAGAAAACAAGCAAACCGCTTGAGACATCCCTACAAAACGGCCGCGAACGGGACCGTGCAACACCCTCGGCGGCTCCCTTTAGGGACGTGAAAATGAGCGCCTCGCTCGAGAAACAATTTCCTGTGTGAGTAAGTCTGGGTATGAGTACGTCTGAGTGTGAGTCAGTCTGTGTATGAGTAAGCCTGGGTATGAGGAGGAGAGGGGAGAAGAAGGAGAAGAAGGAGAAGAAGGAGAAGTCGGCGGCGTCCAAGAAGCAACAAGAACCCCATCTTAGGATATGGGGAAACATTGGCCATGCAATCAGTGCAAATATCACATGGCAGGGGCCATGATATCTCCCCTCTCCCTGATCCAGCCCCCCATGGCCGCCCCCGAGATCTCCTCCAAGCCGAAGACCCGCTGGGCGGGGACGAGCTGAAGCAGGAATACCAACACGAAGACGAGCGACCCTGAAATCAGCAGCTGCTTGTCGTTCGGCGGGCAGGCCCAGCTCTCCACGACCACACAGACGTTCATCGCCACCGCTGGGAACCTTACCACGTTGCTGGAAACACACATGGATGGATCCGCGTGTGGCACATCTGGAGGCCACGTGAGCGAGGAAAAGAAACGGGTCTTACGCAAGATGGCATATCGACTTTACATTTTGGATTACTCGGGCCGCCGTCCGGGGGACACCGCGTGGAGAAGAGGCCGCTGACGCGTGACCTTACGCCCGAAGCTTACTCGTACATGTCGGCGCAATCGCCTTCGTATTTTCGCGTCGATCGTATAGATTGATCCGCGTTTGGAACATGCAGAGGCCACATGCTTGATACACATGCCCATCAGGCCACATGTATATCCAGCACTCGCCCAGGCTGGTCTCGTCATGTATAAGCAGCTTCCTGGTAGAAGCGCCCCGCCCACCCCATCGACAGTGCCAAAGTGTCGACGGCATCATAACCTTTGTTTTCAGTTCTGGAGGAGAGGCGATCGGACATCCCAGCGATTGCCTCCCCGAGCGACGCCTAGGAGATGCTGTGCGAAACAAGTGGGAAACAAGAGCGACAGCACGGTCAGCTCAAGTACTGCGGGGCAAGGGCTTACATACTGGAGGGCGGCCGTGCACCGCTTGACGTAGATAACAAATCGCAACGGGATGGCACATCACAGAGGCAACCTAAGCGGGCGGTCGCAGTCGACACCTGGCAGTGCGACCAACGACGTGACACCAAGAATCCGAGGAGGGAGGAGGACGACGGCGAGGAAAAGGAAGAGACGAAGGAGACAAGGGGTAGGACAAAAGCAATGTGTGGGCATCCGATGGCTCTGCCAGTCATCTGTGCAAACAACAGATCTTCATCCCGGGTAGTTTTTCGAACGGCCCCTGGGGCCCGGTGGGGAGGCCCTGGAGCCCGAAGCCGCCAGAAAGATGGACGGCGCGAGGGTCGGGGGGCGGCCAAGAGGGGCGTGTCCAAGAGCGTGTCTCGCAGATCACGGCCCGCGGCACGTGCGCGGACGAGGAGGGGACCAGGGGACCGTTCTGAAGGGGGGGGGGCATGAGATCCCAGGAGACATCATGGCCCCCGCCATGGCTTCGCCCCTCCGAGCTCCCCGACGTCGTGATTTGCGCCCTCGTGGCCCTGGCATCTCCCCTCCCAGACCCCCGACGTCATGATTTTTTCCATCACGTCCACCCCCAAAGGCCTCGATGGGCCCGAGGCCCGGTGATATCGAGGGGTCCCCGAGGCCGAAGAAGCAGCGAGGAGCCTCCCTCTCGTCGTGACCTTCGCGCCTCGGAAAAAGGAGGTCCTGAGCTTGCGGCCGCCCCCAGGGAGGGGTATAGCTACCTGGGGAAAGGCCCCCGAAAGGCCACCGGACGGCGCGCCCTCCTGCTCCTCCTCCTCCTCCTCCTCCTCCTCCTCCTCCTCTTCTTCCTCCTCCTCCTCCTCCTGCTCCTCCTCCTCCTGCTCCTCCTCCTCCTCCTTCTCCTCCTCCTCCTCGTCCTCGTCCTCCTCCTCCCTCCTCCTCCTCCTCCTCCTCCTCATCATCATCATCATCATCATCATCATCATCAGCATCATTCCTCCTCCTCCTCCTCCTCCTCCTCCTCCTCCTCCTCCTGCTCCTCATCCTCCTCCCCCTCCATTCCTTCCCCATTCCTTCTCCATATCAATAGTTTCTCCCTGTCACACCCCGAGGCCAGTTTTTAAGGCGGGCTGGGCGTTTCGCCTGAGACTTCCTCACCATTTATGGCCCTGAAGCTTTGAAAATGGCACCAGTGGAGGGGGAGGTTTTCAACATGTGGCTCTCGCCTCAGCGCCGCGCACATTCGTTTTTCACATTTGACTGAGTTTCACGGATTGAAAGGCGGGAGAAATTCAACATGTGGCTCTCGCCTTAGTTTCGCGCACATTCGTTTCTCAAATTCGCAAGGGTCTCACGGATCGAGGGCGGGAGGTTTTCAAAATGTGGCTCTCGCGCCGCGCACATTCGTAGTAAAAACTTGCAAGAGTTTCACGGATTCCCATGATCAGCGTACCAGACATGGTGTTCTGGAAGGATTCCGGATTGTGAGGGCACAACAATTGATTTGCAACGTTGACGTCCCAGGAAAGGCGTTCTGGCACGATTCAGGATCGTCAAGACGCAACGGTCAGGTTGATCCGTGGCGTTGGAATCCCGAGAACAATGTTTTGGCATGCTTCCGTGTCTTCAAACGGTTGTCTTCCAACGAGGCAGTTCCCTCAGTGGACATGGATCCCTGTAGGGGCCTACGACGAGGGAGCTTGGAGGGAGGGTTGATTCAAACATCGTTGAAGCCTCTTGGGTTTACACTGGTCCTCCTCCTCCTCCTCCTCCTCCTCCTCCCTCCCTCCCTCCCTCCCTCCCTCCCTCCCTCCCTTTCTCCCTCCTCCTCCTCCTCCTCCTCCTCCTCCGTCTCCTCCTCCTCCTCCTCCCTCCATCCATCCTCCCTCCCTCCCTCCCTCCCCTCCCTCCCTCCCTCCCTCCCTCCCTCCCTCCCTCCCCCCTCCCTCCCTCCCTCCCTCCCTCCCCCTCCCTCTCCTCCTCTCCTCCTCCCCTCCTCCTCCACCTCCTCCTCCTCCTCTTCCTCCTCCTCCTCCTCCTCCTTCTCCTCCTCCTCCTCCCCTCCCCTTCGCGCCCGAAGGGGGGCGTCCACGAGGGGGGGCGCAACTCATGACCGGCGGCATGTGCGCGGCCCAGGGGAGGGCCGGGAACGTATCGAGATAAGAAAAGAACGAACAGTGACGTAAACATAAAAACTCGAAGGTCCGCGCGGACTTCTCGGATCGGCGCTGGACCGCCCTGGCGGCGCCTCCGTCGCAGCCCCTGGCGCGCTCCGCGCGCCAAGGAGGGGACCTCGGGCGCGCGCCGATCCGAGAAATCCGCGAGGACCTCCGAGTATTTCATTGTTCGTTCCCCTAAGGAAGAAAAAGCGCCATGAAATCTGGGAAATATCATGGACCTCGCCATGAGATCCACGCCCTCAGTTTTTATGTTTATGTCATTGCTCGCCGAGGCATCGCCGAGGCATCGGCGATGCCTCGGCGATGCACCAGCGACGCTGGCGATGCATCGGCGACGTCGATGTGAAGCAATGCGGGCTCCACATCGAGCCGCACCGGCGATGCATCGGCGAGGCGGCGCGATCCTCCGACCCCATCTACTCCGACCCCATCTAGGAGGCCTAGATTAAAGGGACCCTGGGCCCCACAAATAAATGCACACAAATAGTAGGATTCCCCCTATTTTCCTACATGTTCTGGGTTTTTGTCTCCCCCCCCACTTCCCATATTTCCCCGAACTTTCGGGAAATCGACGATAAATTGTGTCTGTGTGCTTTTTCCCCTCCTGATAGATTGGCCGCCCCCGACGCCCGCCGGGCCGAGCGTCGACGGGCGCAGCCCGCTGAGCCCAGGCACGCCACCTCCCACAGCGACCGGCTCGTGCGGAGCAGGGCCCTGGCCGCCTGCATCCACACCTCTGGCGGCGGCGGCGGCGGCGGCGGCGACGACGGCGACGCCGCCGACGACGACGACGACGACGACGGAGACGACGGAGACGACGGAGACGACGGAGACGACGAACGACGACGACGACGACGACGACGACGACGACGACGACGAAGACGACGACGACGACGACGACGACGACGACGACGACCGACGACGACGAACTACGAACGACGACGAAAACGACGACGACAATGACGAACGAAGACGAACGGCGAACGACGAACGGCGAACGACGACGAGGAACGGCGAACGGCGAACGGCGAGCGACGAACGGCGAACGACAAGCACGACGACGACGACGACGACGACGACGACGACGACGACGACGTGGCGGCGAGTCCAGGGGGGAATGCAGATGGGGGCGGGCCTTCTCAAAGGCTCGGAAGGCCTCACGCCGTCCGAGAAGTGCTGCCACGTCGTCTCCAGAGGCACGGGCGGCATGATCCGAAGGGCGGAGGGCTTCTGAGGAGCCCCGCGGCCTGCTGAGAAGGCCTGCCCCCTCTGGCTTCCCCCACGGTCTCGCCGCCGACTGGGAGGCCAGGTCGTCAAAGCCTTCACGGCCTCTGCTGTGCCTCGACTTGCGCTGGCGCGTCCACGATGTGCTCCAATTCTCTGGAGAGCTCTGGATTCCCTCTGCTTCTTATGGGTTCACCCCTATTCATCTGGATGCGCCTCGATCCAGCTGGATGTTCCTCAATCTACCTGACTTGATCCCCGCACGTCGATTGGAGAAAGATTGTTGAGCCATGCGGGAGCCTTGAGGGATGGCCGCCTCACCACCGAGGGATGGTCGCCTGACCACCGAGGGACGTAACTGCAGCTGATACCTGAGATCGAGAGATGGTCGCCGGGCCATCAGAGCACCACGGCGCAGGCGGCGCTTACGCGAGTTGACCGGGCCGTTCCCCCGTGGTAAATACACTTTGCAAGAAGGGGGATCGGCTACCCCAGAGATCTGGTGAGCGTTTTTTTTATTCGGCGCTTCGACATTGGGCGGAAGAGGGGGGGGGAGGGGGGAGTTGTCTGGCTCTGGACCTCTGCTTGGTGCGACTGCTTGCAGGAGTGCGGCCTCCGGGGGAGACCCCACCCGCTCGAAGCAGGCGCCAAAAAACAGCCAGGATCTACTCCATGCAGGGGGGGGGAGCGGTGGGGGGGAGAGGGCCCGCGCCGCTCGGCGAAACAAGGAATCAAAAAACGATCCTCTGGCGGCTCGACAAGAATCTGGGTGGCAGGTGCTGTGTCCGAAGATTTGGCGCTGTGGAGGCCAGGCCCAGGCCCTCTGGGTGCAATCGACAAGCGGCCCGGGATCTACATGGCAGTTTTAATACATCGGATGTTAAAAAATATGGGATCATTAATACATGATTAATGTATGAATACATGTATGCATGAACTCATCGTTGTTTTTAATGCTAAATCCCTGCATTTGTAATACATGATCCGCACGCGGAGCATGTATTAAAAACGGCACTTTGTGCTGTTCCAACCGCACTTAAGGACCACATCCCAGAAATATGTTCAAGCACCCAGCAAAGTGTCGAGGCAGTGTTAAAAAAGTGTCGCACCCCGGGGCCCGACGCGTGAAAAACCTCCGGCTTCGGCACGTCCCAGGTGCTCGAAATTCTTCCTGGTGGTCCAAGCAAAAGTGGGCTGGAACATCATACCCCGGGATGAGAGGCTGGTCCCGGGGGAGGAGTCGGAACGCCCTGGGCCAGACTTGGGCGGCGGAGGGGAATCGGCTACACCTGCTGTGCATCGTCGCGGTTCTCGGGGGGGCTCAGAAGTTGTATCACGATACAGGGCGGTGTTTTATTACATCGGATGTTTAAACATATGGGATTATAATACATGGTTAAGTCAGGAATCAAAGTATGCATGAACTCATCGTTGTTTTTCATACTAAATCCATGCATTTGTAATACATGATCCGCACGCGGAGAATGTATTAAAAACGGCACTGTACTTCATCTAAGTTCCTGGGGGGGCTTCTCGCCTCGGAGCGCGTGCCAGCAGCTGCGCCTCGTCAAGAGCGTCCCGGCATGGCCTGGATCGTCTCGAACCACAGCCCGATGCCCGAGAGGCGGCCCGAAAGCCAGGCCTCCTCGCGCTGCGAAAAAGATAATCGGAAAACTGTTCGCCGCTTTCGGCCTTGGGGGGCCTTGCCAGGTCCCGACGCCGTCAAAAATTTGCGCAGGATGAGAAGGCTGTCCCGGGAAAGGAGTCCAGACCACCACGTGCTGAAAAATCACGACGTTGGAGTTCCGAGCTGGGCGACCCCAATCTCCGATCCAGTGGGACCTTCGATGGGCTAGGCACTTTGCGGCCCAGCTCAAAATTTACGGCAGGGGGCGTCCTTCCTCGACAGGAGTGCGTGCGAATAGCCCCTGGGGAATGCATCCCGAATCCCCCCTCTGCTGTAAACTGCCAGTTCTGGGGGGGGAACTCGGGGGTGAGAAGGGCGAGAAGCCGCCCGCGAACCTGGGCGACGGATGAGAAGGGCTCTCACGCACGAAGAGGTTCCAAGGTCGACAGCTGGGCAGCGGAAGACAAGCAACCTCACTCGCGCATGGCGAAAGATGCGGGATCGAAGCGCGAGGCTCGACTCTATATGCTGGCTTCCGCCCCCTAGGGACCGTCAGAGACTTCCAGAAGGAGCCCGCCGGCCAGCACGGAGCCTGGGCGGGGCCTGGGGACCGAGCTCGCACGGCCCCCCGAGATCGACGACGAGGGGAGAACAAAAAAACAAAACTCTCCGTCGGGCTCCAGTGGCCCCGGCGCGAGCACGTCCGGGGGAGAGGGCGGGCCGCTCGTCCTGCGGCAGCCCTCCAGCCTTCCTCGGGAGCCCTCCCCGGAGCCCCTCCCCGGGAGGCCCTGCGGACCTCGCGCCCCGTGCCCGCTCGCGAGGGGCCGCCCCCCCCCCCTCGCCGCGGATCGCAGACCCCGAGTCGCTCTCGAGGCGGGCCCCCAAGGCACCCACCCCTCGAGGGGCTGATGCCGGCAGGCTTCCCGCGCGGTGCCCCGCCGCAGCGACGAGGGCCTCCGGAAACGGCGAGGTCGACGACGCGTCGCCGTCGTCCCCTCTCAGCGGCGCCCGGCCCTCTCGCGAGGCCCTGCCCCGGCGGCCACGTGAAGAGAGGCACCGGTGCGCGCGGGAACGGGTGTTCGGCCCGGGGGCCTTTTCGTGGAGCCGAAGATGGGGAACGCGAGGGCTTCTGGGCCACTCTGGGCCCCCTGACCTGGCCGGCATCGGCGTGCTCCCCCAGAACGCGGACCACGGCTTCCCCAGGTGAGCGCTCTTTTATTCGGCGTTTCGAGGGGGGAGGGGGGAAGGGGGGGGGAGGCGGGGGGAGGGGGGGAGGGGGAGAGGGGGGGGGAAATGGGGGTGTCTGGCTCTGGACCTCTGCTTCGCGCGACTGTTTGCGACAGTGCGTCCTATGGGGGAGGGACTCCACCTGCTCGAAACAGGCGCCAAGAACAGCCAAGATCCAAACCGGGGGGGGGGGAGGCGAGGCCCGCGCCGATCGGCAAAACAATGCATCAAAAACGATCACCAGCGCGGCAGGAGTGGACCAGCGCTTCGGCCAGCGAGCACATCCTCTGCCCACGGGTGGCGCTCCCACCACTCCGGTGCGCGCGCCGCCGGCTCCTCGCGATGGCCAGCGCGGGCCGCCAGCAGGGCAAACACCGGGTGGAGGAGAGGGCGAGTGCGCGCGGCCTTGCCTGCCATGACGGCGGGCCCTGGCCCCAGAGACCAGCTCTGCCTCCCGAGTCTATTGTTCGAAGCCTCTACGGGGCCAGGGGTGGTGGCTGTCAGCGGCCCGAAGCAGCGAGCAGCCCGAGGGCCCTGCTCCACAGCCCCATACCTTCATGCTGGCTTGCGCGGGCAGCTTGGGCGCGAATGCACGCGCAGTCGGCCCAAGGCCGTCCCGACGACGGCACAACCGCAACCGACAGAACCAGCAGCGGAACCGAGACTGACCGAAACCAACAGGCCGCGAGCAGCATAGAGGCAAAGCGACGCAGTCACGACACACCAACCGACCGAACCGAACCGACCGAACGCAACCGACCGCGACGCAGCCGAACCGACCGAACCGCGGACACACACACACACACACACACACACTTGGGACCACCTAGGATACAGTTTAAAGTCAGCACATGGCGACGACATATTTCAAAGCCCCATGGGCTCGAACCTCCTCCTAACATTGAGGGTCGGCCTTCGTTCCAGTCGCACTGTTCTGAAAACGCCCCTGTGCCGTCAGGTGATCATTGTTTCTCTGCGCGTCTCCCTCCCTCCTTCCTCACCTCCTCCCCCTCCCCCCCTCCTCATCGTCCCCCTCCTCCCTCCTCATCTAGCTGTCTTCGCCGATTTCGGAACGCGTCTCGTGCCCCGCGATGACCTCAAGCTACGGCCTCAGAAACACCATCCGCATGCAGTTTGGACGCGCCCTCGCACGTTTCGCGCCCCACTGGGGAAACAAGGTTCGAATGGCGTTCCTCCGCCTGCTTCGGCACACCCCTCACTCGCTTCGTGGCCCACAGCACGCTCCGACTCCGACTATGGCCACAGACATGAATTAATCGTCGATCCCCCAGAAAATATTGGAAAAGATGGGAAGTGGGGGGGGAGACGAAAATCCAGAAGATATAGGAAAATATGGGGAATGTCTTCATTGGTGTGTGTTATTTGTGTGTCCCAGGGCCCCTTCAGATATCCACTCACTCTGGTCCTCGCCTCCCTCACGCTTGATGACCTTCGGGTCACAGCTCGGGTGTCCGGCAGCCGCCCGGGGCGCCGCGGGCGGCCCCCAGGAGCCCTCGTCGAGGCGCAGCTGCTGGAAAACACTCCGAGGAGAGACCGCCCTGCAAGAATCCACGAGAACCGCCTCCCCCACCTCAACCATTCGACGACGACGAAACTGTCCCCACCAAACCCCCATGGACGCCCCCATCTTTCAAGGGAAAAGACATGGGGGGACTGGCTCAGGGGGGGGGGGGCATCGACCTGGAATCGGCGATGCGTCGCCGAGAGATCGGCCGATAGGCTCTCGACGGCGATGCCGTACGTTCCTGGGCTGGGTCGGCCATCGAGCCCCTATGGCGATGCATGGGCGATTGGAGGTCTATGTGTTCCCCCCTTGAGCCCATCCCCTCAGCCAGGAGGGATATTCAAAAATGGTCAAAAAATAGTCGGGGGACTATTTTTTGTCCGTGTTTGAATATGTGTAGGGCATGTTGGGTTTTCTTTAACTTTTGGGAGTATTTTTGGCGCCCTGGTTTCGGGTCATACCTCAGCTGCCCATCGCCTGCTCGGGGCGATCCTGGGGAGCCCCCGACGCCCCTCGGCAAGACACGCAGCTGCTGCGAGGCGCACCCCAAGGCGGAGAAGCCGCCGAAGACCGACGAAGACGTCCGAGAACCTTCAGCAACGAATCTCGAGCCTCCCCCCAAAGCACTTCTTGACGAGCAGGGTCGGGCGACGAGCGCTGCCGCAAGAGCCCCGAAGAGGCGCCCGACTCGGTCGGGCACCTTGGGGAGCTGCGCGATACGCCGCGCCGCCAGCGCCGCGAATCCCCCCCCCAAAGCACACACACACACCTCCACGGTCGGAAACTCTTGCTTGGCGTGTCGCGGCGGCGGCCCCGGCGACACGCTGTGTCCAGCGAGCGGACAGCGTGTCGCTCCGCTCCGCGGGGCGGGAGGCTCAGAACAGCTCGGGACGTTGACGCTCGGAGACTGGGACTTGGACAGCGTGTCGCGCCGCAGCGCGGTGGGCCAGAACCAGCGGCGCGACACGCGAAGCCAAAGTTCCTGACAGTACAGTCGTCGCGCGGCCAAAGAGAACGCTGAAGAAGGAACGCAGGGCATGCGCAGGCCACAGCGCGAGCCTGGGCCACGAATGAGGCCCCCCGACCTGGACCGAAGGAACGGCCCGCAAACCCGAGCCCCTCCCGAACCCAAGATCATCCTTACTTCGGCATGCTTTGGCTGCACCCCGCTCACTACGTTCTTCCTCGCAGGGAGAGGAGGGGCGTGGACAGCGTGCTGCGACAACCGGCGTCCAAGCTCGGACGCCGCCACGCACCGAAGGCCAGGTACCGAAACAGAGACACACAGTGGCACGTGTCAGGGGAGGCACGGCACAGGCGACAGAAGGCGGCCGCGCCCGAGAGCCGCGGCCTCCCTCCCCCCGCGAGGGGAACGGACGTGCAAGATCTGGGCTCTAGAATTGGAGAGACATGATGGGCCTGTTTTCCACCACCACCACCACCACCATAAGTTGGAAGGGGGAAGGAGGTAGAGGACGAGGAGGAGGAGGACGAAGAGGAGGATGAGGAGGAGGAGGAGGAGGACCCCCTCGCCCTCCAACTTATGGTAGTGGTGGTGGGAAACACGCCCACCAAGACACCCGGAGCACAAACAGAATGGCACCACGAGCAACCCGTGACGCTTATTTCCACGAGTTCCCCCCGTAACGTTGTGGACACCATGACACTGGACACCCAAACAAGCCTGTCATTGAATTTAGCATGTGTTTGGATTGTCTGAGGAATGGTTCAAACCTGCGTTTTGCTTATTTATTCCATGTTTAAAAACGTGCTGCAATTGTGAAATGCATGTCTAATACATGTTTAACCATCTTGGAAATATCTGGCAACACGCTTCCTCTCCATTGATCGTCGTCCACAAACGTTGCCCCCGAGCTCTTCGTCCGACCCGACGCGGCTTGGGCCCCAGGCCGCTGGCGCCTGGCGCGCCCAGTGGCCGCTCGCCACGCCGTCGCACGCCGCCTTGGGCGGCACCTCCGACCTCCTCCGCCCTCCGTCGACTGTCCTCCTCCATCCTCCTCTGCGCTCCTCCGTCCTCCTCCTCATCCTTCTCCTCCTCCTCATCCTCCTCCTCCTCCCTTTGCTCCTTCTGCTCCTTCTGCTCCTCCTCCTCCTCCTCCTCCTCCTCCTCCTCCCTCCTCCTCCTCCTCCTCCCCTCCTCCTCCTCCTCCTCCTCCTCCTCCCTCCCTCCTGCCCCTCCCCCTTGTCCTTGTACGTTTCCCCCTCGTCGTCGTCCTCCTCCTCCTCCTTTGCAGCACGGGGCCTCACCCGCACCGGCAGACCCACGGGACGAGTGGACCTGTCGAGGAAGCGCTGCTGGGTCGCCTCGCTTCGCGCACCGCGCCCCGCGATGCGCGGCGCGCGATCATCTTCGCGCCCTCACTGAAGGGGCCCCAGGGATTCCCCATCTGTTCCCATATGTTCTGGGTTTTGTCCTCCCCCCCACTTCCCATATTTTCGCATATTTTCCTGGGAATCGACAAATAATTGTGTCTGTGTGTTTTTTTCCCTCCTGACTCACGTCCCCGCGCCGCCCCCTTGGGGCAGGGCAGCCGTTCTGGCCCAGACCGCGACGCGCGAAGCGCAATCACCTCCGCGCCCCCCTGGGTGGCCTGCGGCGGGTTCCTGTCGTGACGCCCCCGGCGCTGGTACCTGGCACCGCGGGGATCGCTCGATCTTGAGCGCGGCTTTTCGATCGCCAGCTCCTTCAAGATTGGCCGATTCTGGACCACTAGCGGCGCTCAACCTTGAACTCCCACTGCGAGGCCGCTCCTGCGCCAGCACGACACAAGCCCTGGAGGAACAAGACATCGGCGCTGGATCCCCCTCCCTGGCGCGCGGAGCGCGCAAGGGGCAGCGCCGGAGGCACCGCCAAGGGTGTCCAGCGCCGATGCAAGAAATCCACGCGGAGCTCCGAAAATGTGTGTTCATGCCGCTTTCTCTCCTTGTCCGGGGGACCCTGCCGCTTCGGCACGACACGAACCTACCGTAGGCGTTTCGGGCAGCCGGAAGAACTGCCAGGACGGAGCAAGGCGAGGGCACAGACCTCACGGTGCTTCAGCTCAGCGAGTGGGCAGCCACACGTGACCGCCGACGCGACCACCGCAGCAGCCGAGGCCTGGGTCGAGTGCGCGCCCGTGCCAGTTTGGCCAGTGAGCGTGAGAACTTGCGGGGACTCTGTTAAGAGGGGGCCTTTGTTCCTCATACACAGCATTAGAAAAAAAGGGAAAAGCCCATAGACATAAACTGTTGGCGCTCCGCGCGGATTTCTTGGATCTGCGCTGGCCCCCCCTCCCTGGCGCGCTCCGCGCGCTGCTGGGGGGAGGGCCCAGCGCAGATCCAAGCGTTCTTTCTTCTTCGAAACACGCTTCACAACTGGCTCCAAGACGTGAGACTGAGACCGGCGGCCAGGCCGGGAGCGTCGCACGAAATGCGGTCAGGAACTTTCGCTGGGCGTGTCGCGGCGGCGACCCCTGCGGCAGGCTGTGCCCTGCGGGCGCATAGCGCGTCGCTCCGCTCCGCGGAGCATGAGGCTTCGAGAGACTCGGCACAATGACGACCGGGGACCGAGTCGCGTGGGGAAGACACGCTCCCCTTGCAACAGAAATACCCCGCAGCTGGCTCCACGACGCGAGCCTGAAAAGCGCCGGGCAGGCCGGGCAGGCCACTTTTTGTGGTCGGCGGGTCGAGAGCGGGCCTCTTCCGGTTCAGAGCTAGGCGGGGCGCGCGAAGCACTAATTGGGGAGACAGGGCGCGGGCGGGCGGGGCCTCAGGCGGCCGGAGGGTGCGGAGTACAGGCGGGCACGTCACACGAGATGCCGGCAAGAGCGCAGAGGCCGGCGGAGGAAGGACACGGGGAGCGTGGAGGACCGTGGGCGGCAGGGCAGGGGCACGGGGGACAGAGCGGAGGCGAGGAGCGAGCAGGGCAGCGGAGGAGAGAGCGGGCGGGGCGGGGCGGGAGGATCGCGGGCCTTCTGGGTTCCTCTGATCCTCTCCTCCTCCACCTCCCCCTCCTCCTCCTCCTCTTCCTCCTCTTCTCCTCCTCCACCTCCTCCTCCTCTCCTCCTCCTCCCCCTCCTCCTCCTCCTCCTCCTCCCCCTCCTCCTCCTCCTCCTCCTCCTCCTCCTCCTCCTGTCCCCCCGCTTGCTCTTCCGTCCTCCTCCTCCGTCCTGCTCCTGCTCCTCATCCTCATACTCCTTTTCCTTCTCCGTCCTCCTCACCCGTCCTCCGCCTCATCCGTCCTCCGCCCGATCCGTCCTCCGCCCCATCAGTCCTCCGCCCCCTCGTCCTCCTCCTCCGTCCCTTTATGCATCGCTCCTCCCTGTCGCATCCAAGGACGTTCTGATAGGGCGGGACGGGCGTTTCGCCTGAGCCTTCCTCACCAGTCATGACCCTCAAACTGGAAACTTGCAAGAGTTTCACAGATGGGGGGCGGGCCGTTTTCAGAATTGAGGCGCCGCGCACATTCGTCTTCAAGTTCGCAACAGTTACAAGGATTGAGGGCGCTTGGCGTTCAAGATGTAGCTCTCGCCTTAGCGCAGCGCGCGTTCGTCATAAGATGCTGCGACCTTTGAAAGGCTTCGTACGGCATTCTGGCACAATTGAGGGTTGTCAGCACGCGACAAGCACGATGACTCGTGAAGTTGCAGTCCCGTGAATGGTGTTCTGGCACGGTAAAGATTGTCAGGACGCAAACGTCGTGTTGATCCGCGGCGTTGCAGTCCCAAGAGTGGTGTTTTTGGGACAGTTGAAGAGTATCAAACGGTTTTCGTCTGATGGACCACTGCCCGCAATGAGCACGAATTCTTGCAGGGACCTATGAGAAGGGAACTTGGAGGGAGCGCTTGATTCCAATATCATTGATGCGTGTTGGGTTAATACTGATCCTCCTCCTCCTCCTCGTCCTCCTCCTCCTCTTCCTCTTCCTTCTCCTCCTCGTCTTTCCATCCTCTTCTTCCTCTCGTCTATCTCCTCCGTCCTCATCCTCAGAACTCCCCCGTCCACCTCCTTGGTCCTCCTGCGTCTTCCTCCGACCTCCGTTCATCTCCTCCTCCTCCCTCCTTCTTCTCTTCATCCTGTCCGTCCTCGTTGTGTCTCGCTCCTTCCTTCCCTCTCTCCTTTCTTGCGTCCTTCCTTCCTGCCCTCGCCCTCGCCCTCTCAAGCCAGAGAAATGCTCCACGACATTCCCCGGACCTCTCCCAGGTTCCGTCCTGGCCAGCCTCCTCGGGGGGGAAGGGCAGGATAGCAAAGGGCAGGGCAGAGAATCAGCTTACGCTGCGAACCTTCCTGGCGGCTGCTGGCGCCTGGAGGCGCCCATGCATCGAGCAATGAGCCTGGCGGCGGGGTGGGAACCAGCTGCGTGCAGCAGACGTCGTACCCCTTCCCCTTTCCTTAGGTCGGGCATGCCCCCCTACAGGCGGATTTTGGACGAAGACTACCGGAAAAGTATCGGAAAATCGTCCCCAAACTATTTTTGAACTGTGTTTGAGTCTTCCTCCTCTGGAGGGGCAGGCCCGACTTAACCCTTTCCCTGTCCCCTCGATCTAACTTCCTGTCCCTGTCCCTTTCCATCCCATCCCTTTCCTGACTACCTACCAGACCACCCCAACCCAACCCGAAAGACCCGAATTTCGGGTTGGGGGGGGTATGGGCTCCATATGTGTTTTTCGATGTTCCTGGACCCCCCCCCCACTGGAAATGGAAGGCAAAATGAGGCCTTCGGGTTGGGTTGGGGTGGTTTGGTGGGTGGTGATTTCCCTGTCCCCTTGACCTTTTTCCCCATCCCTGTCCCTGTCCCTGTCCCAGGCCCGACGCAGCCCTTTTGCCCCATCCCCACACCGTGCGGCCCGACGCGAGCTCTCACCCCCGGCTGGAGCTCCGACGGCCCTTTGGGGCGCCGGCAGCGGGCCCCCACAGGGGGAAGAGAGAGAGGCCGAGGAGAAAAAAAGGGCAACCGAGGATCCGCATCGGGGGGGGCTCCTCCTCCTCCTCCTCCTCCTCCTCACCTCCTCCTCCTCCTCCTCCTCCTCCTCCTCCTCCTCCTCAAGGGGGGGGCGGGGGGGAGCCAAGGCCGCGCTGACGGCGATGTTGGGGAACGGCGATGTTGGGAAGCCACGCTTGCCAAATGTGCGAGCGCATCGGGCGACAGCGGCGCGGCGAAGTGCAGGAAAGCACGAACCACGGTGTCCTGCCATTGGCTTGGCCACGAGCCAGTCCCACCTACGATGCCGAGACCTACGTCGCCGTTGCCTGCGTTGCCGTTGGCGCGTCTACGGGGGAGGGCAACTCCCATCTCCACCTCCTGCTCCTGCTCCTGCTCCTCTTCCCCTCCTGCGCGTGCTCCCGCGCAAGGGGGGAAGATGCCGACGACGACGACGACGACGACGACGACGATCGACGACGAACGACGAACGACGAACGACGAACAAACGACGAACGACGACGACGACGACGACGACGACAACACGACGACGAACGATGACGACGAACGATGACGACGACGACGACGACGACGAACGACGACGACGAACGACGAATGACGAACGACGAACGACGAACGACGACGCCGAACGCCGACGAGGAACGACGACGAACGACGACGACGACGACGACGACGACGACGACGACGACGACGACGACGGCGACGGCGACGGCGACGGCGACGGCGACGAACGACGACGACGACGACGACGACGAACGACGACGAACGACGAACGACGAACGACGAACGAACGACGAACGACGACGACGACGACGAACGACGACGAAAGATGACGACGACGATGACGAACGACGACGACGAAGAACGACGACGAACGCCGAACGACGAACGACGACGCCGAACGACGACGACGAACGACGACGAACGACGACGACGACGACGACGACGACGACGAACGACGACGACGACGACGACAAACGACGAACGAACGACGAACGACGACGCCGACGACGACGACGACGA